TTTATACACATGGTTATATGAAAGGCACAATAACATCCATTATGTTTTCTTTAATATATAATAATTATAATAATTATTCAGTTTACAAATAAAATAAAGATAATTGTATAATAAACGCTTTTGTATCCATTGAAACAGTGAAAACTATTACAATTTTTGTTAGATACCATTTTGTTTATAACAGAATGTTGTCAAATCTATCAGTTGGAGTTTTGCATTCGATGGTTCTTATATTTTCTCTTAAATTTCCAATGTTCTGATTATATACTTACACAATTAAATTCTATTTAACTTAGAAATTATTATGATAATCTTACTTAATCTAAACGGTACACTACTATTGTGAAGCGAATCAAAGCACATCTTAAAGGTATTTTATTTTTGGCGATTTATTGCTTTAAGTTGAAGAAAGATTTTTTAGAGATTTAAACAATTTACAATTATTAATTAAAGTTTTATTTGTTTATAGTGGCAAAAAATTATAAGAAATTTGTTGTTAAACGTATAAACATTTTAGAAACGAGAAATAAGAAGTACTCTTGTATCCCTGCTAAGATCATGAAAAAGAATCGCGTGAGAAGTATTCATAAGAATTTGAACCAAGAAATTAATTTGGGAAATATAAATATATCAACAAACCCAGAAATCTTGCACCAAATGAAATTAATAAAGTCGAAGAAAGCATTCTTAATACTATATAAAAAAGAATGGCCGAAGAATCAAGACGTCAAAAGTAATTTTATTATTACCTTTCTTCAAATAAGTAAACAAAATTACTTATAAAATTAAAAAACACAGAATAGTTACTTCACAAGTAATAAAACTTTAGTATATGAAATTCAAAATTATTTAATTCTCACTAAAATTTAAACAAACTATGATTATATTTAATATATTTACCGTATTAATGTATCTTCTAACATAAATTAATGGGTCGAGGCTTAAAAAAGAAATTAAGTAAAATTACTAAAGAAAGAGAATATTACTTCAGTATACAAGAATTATTTTATCAATATTTTTCTTCGGAAAAATTCAATAGTCATTGCTATGTATAATATTTAGAGATAATGTATAAAAATACTAAGGACAGATACCTTAAAATATTTTTATGACAATTAAAAATTAAACCAAACAATAATACATATTTTTGAAAGTTTATAGCATAACTGTGTTCATTTTAAAGCAATCGTAAAATGGGTCTTAATGCCGCCTAAAACTATATTATACTCACAACAGCCATCATTATGAAGAACTGCAAATTTATGATGGTAACACGAATCCTTTTCTGCAGCTGATTAAAAGAGAGATATGTATTGGAAGTCAGACTGTTATATCACAAGTTCCACGAGAGCAAATATTTAGTGCTACTCCTAAAGTATGAACGCAGCATCCGGTGGTATTCACGCGGGTTCGTTAACGTTCGGGGTTTTATTTTGTCTTAAGTCTTTAGCTATGCTGAGGATGAGGAATAAGGTGAGTGGACTGTATGTTTGAATGTAGAACGAATATTACAAAATATAATTATAACAATTAAATGTATTATACGAGATATATAAAATCTTATATATACCAATGTGGATGGGGGGGACATATGACTAATATGACATAAGACTAATGCCACTAAGGCGATGATATAAACAAATATTAAATTATACAAGTGAGTCTTAGGAAGATAGATGAACAAGCATTATACTTATCGGCTAAATGAAACGGCTGATGATAATGTTGAATATTGAAAGGATCAATTGAAGTCGATTGCAAGTAGCTGACCAATGTGTACAATATGCTGTGAACGGTATTTTTATGTATCTTATAAAATATATAGACCCAACGGCGATAAACTAAGCGCACAGGATACGACAATCGCAAAGGTGATATTTTCTTTTTACAGTAAAACGAATACAAAATTACTGGCTCGCAAAACGCCATAGAGCTTATAGCAGAAGAAGCGTTAAGATGGCGGCGACAATGGTGACATAGAGAGAAAACCGACAATAACTCGATGTAACACAACGATAACATGAATAATCAATAACACATTTTCTTGAAAGCATATTCCACCGATGTGTATCCAACACCTGATATATAGATTTCTATGAAGATGACATAGAAATTATGCAAACAATACTTTTGTAATAATTATTTAAATAGAAATTTTTACTCAATATTTTTTTCTTAGTGCTTTTAGTTTTTATAATTATTATCTATTTATATTTCAAACAAATGTAATAACCTTCTTTTGTTTTCCTAATTTTTGTATTTTTAACAAATGTATTTCTCTAATTTTTAAAGAAACTATCTACTTGGACAGAATACTTTCCTCACTATTTTAAAAATATGTTTTATAATAATTAACTAACCTATACATATTATTAATTAATCATTAACATACAATAAAGATAGTGTTAAATAATAAATATAAAATATAATATATAAAATACTTTTTGAGAAATTAAAGCAGGTACTCCATGGTTTTAAATATCTGTAAATTTCGACTTTTTAAAACTTTTTTTCTTAAAAGTGTCAAAATTTGATTATAAATAAACCAAATAAATTATTTTTTTTATATAATTATCTTAGGCATTTATCTTTCATTTGGTACACGTTTTATAAAAATTTAACTTTATACCTGCCCATAGAGGTATCAAAATAGCAACTTTTGCAACATAACTTTTGATAAAGTTTGGAAAATATTGCGTCCTTTAAACATATATTAAATTTATCTTTTTATGCAAATAGCTTCCATAGTTAAAAACATACTATTTTAATGTTAAAATTTTATTAATAATATCTTATAAGGGTTTACTATAGTAATGATGCCTTCAATTTTTAGTTAAGTTACATGAATCTAAATTACATTGATTATACATTTAAACTTATTTTGAATATTTTGCCTCCCCTTGGTTAGGAAAAGAAACTTTGAATTTCGTAAATAAGTTTAAGTTGTCCTTTTAGCCACTATATATAATAATATAATATAATAATGAGTTTTTTGAATTTTTTGACGTAAAAAACAATATAAAATTCGTTTGATTTTTCTATTAGATTAAATAACTTCAATGAATATAAGGGAACCCATTTTCAGAGTCACTCCTTGTGAGAAAGAATTTCTTAATCATAATGCACATTTTTTACTCTTTTTTTTTTTAGTGTCTGTCATTCATTTTTTTCACCTCTCATTTAACTAATTTTTTTCAATGGAACGTTAAATTATCATAAATAGTATCTAATTAATGATATTACTTTCATAAATTAAAAAAGATTTCCCCTTTATCAATTATAAATTTCTTAACCAATTTAATTTCTTGTTTTTCAAGTATATATTGTTGAAATAGGTTTGATATGATAATATGTTTCAACTACAACGTTGAATAACATTACTTTGTTGCTTATTAATTTTTTAACTCTATTTGTGTGTTCTTCTGTCATTCTATAATATTCCAAATATTTTTTTAACATGTTACTCAATAAATTATATCTTTTTCCTCGCCTTTATCCCAACTAATTTACAAAAAAATTATTCCTAGAATCACAACATTAATTAAAATGTTTTGGATACATTTTTAGTTTTGGAAATATGATACTTAATTAACAAAAAAGAAAACTAGCACATATTTAGAATGTTAGCTAACAAATTCATTAATATGCACTTCAGTTTTTTTTATTATAAAATAAATCAGAGTAGTTATTCAGGAGGTAACTAGAATAGGGACTGCCAGCTTTGACTTTTCTGTGGGTCTAATTTTTTTTTTGACTTATAGTCACATAAGTTTCAAATTGAAAAACTTCTATTTTTTAAACGTATGTTTTAAGTTGAACCTTTCTGTATAAGGGAAAATGATCTGATATCTAAAAAAAGTAGGTCGGAAAAGATATGTATGAAATATTTATAAAAAAATATTATCTATGCATATATTTTTTAAATAATAATAGCAATTTAAGTTGAAAATATAAAATCATTTTAACTACGGCGGCCTTTTAGTATAGTTGATAATAATTCAGGACGAATATTTTTTTAACTTATAGTAATATTCAAATAATGTATAAAAAAATTATTTATTGCTATTTCATATAAGTCGCTAACTAAAATAAACAAGATAATTCTATGAAAATAAGGAATTTTATATTTTTGCATTTAAAATGATTAATAAATTACTTTTTAAATTAATAAAACTGATTTACAACACAAATAGTATATTAAGACACGTTAACAATGATTTATAAAATTGTGAGAAAACAAATAGAAAAGTTAGAAATGAATAACAATCATAAAATGAAAATTGTGTAATAGAAACACAAATTCAATGGCATAAATAATATTAAAAAAATCATGTTTTTATTATAAAAAGTATTTAAAAAAAAAAATAATGAATAATACAAAGTAATTAAAGAATGAAAATATATAACAAATAAAAATAATAATAAAAAAATAACTGGTGAGCACCAAAAATGTAAATAACAAGTGTATACTTGTCTGAACTTATCATTAAAGATAAGAGGATCATCCTGCAGTTATAGCTGAAGCAAAATATAAGAGTTATACGGTAAATATGATTGTTGAAATCGATGAATTTGTCATAGTTCATAATCATTAATTACTGATTGGTCAAAATCTGTAACAGTCTATATTGATGATGTCGAGATTAGTAATGGTCTATATCAGTTGAATCGTAAAATTTGATCATGTCGAGTATTAATTATGTTTTCTTTTTTGATTGAAGAGTATTATATAAGTTTGTTTGCTTTTTGAGTTCATGTTATTGAATCTACCAAAAAATGTGGTGATGGAATCCAGTTTTCCATTAATAAAGTTATTCTGTATTTCTATGTTGTTATTAAAGTATTTCCCTAATTTGAACAACTAAAAAATGAATTGAAAAATATTAACTGATGTTATATGTATTGTGTATGAAATAAAAATTTACTTCATTTCGATCAGTACTTTTAGGTATGTGTAGTGCAACGTTGGGAGGAATACTTCGGGCCAATTCGAATATCGTTCAACCGCCACCATCGTATTCACTACACATATTTTTCTCCAAACTGTATGTTTTATGGTTTTTGTACGACGGTCCTCCCCATGGAGACGAAGTTACAATGACTTCAGCTTTGTATTTCTTTAGGTCTTTAGCTAAAGTGAAAAAATCATCCTCGATGAATTCAATCTTATCCCTCACACCATATATTTCCGCATTCTTCTTAGCAAATTCCAATTTGTTCGGGTCAATGTCTATCGCGATCACTTTTTTATACTTCATTGCTGACTGAATTACATTACCTCCGGCGCCACAAAACGGGTCCATCGCTACATTGTAACCCTCACACCTCTTGGCAATATGCTTGCTCAAAATTTCAGAGCACACGGAATAAAATGATTCTAAGATAATAGTTAACATTAAAAAAATAAAAGATTAATAAAGAGTATTAATTAAATACCATAGTCCAAAAGAATTATGTCATCAAATTTTTCAAACAAGAAGTGTCTATTATTCCATAAGTGCTTTGGAATATCATGAGAGCTAGTTTTATTGGAACTATTACTGTCCAAGTTATGTTTAATTGGCGAAGTGTTACTGGTATATGACGAATCTGGTGTATGTGATTCAATTAATTCAGTCGAGTGACTTATTTGAGTCGAAATGTTGTTCTTACTTACCTCTGTATCGTTTTGGAGCTGGCAGAGGGTGACATCGTTGGTTAAGTCATTGTCCGCTAGGTGGGATTGTGATATATTCAAAGAAGCACTGTTCAGGTTAGTTTCAATAGAATTGTCGAGTGTCTATTTATTCTCAAAAATGTTTTCTTCGGTTTCAACAGTCGTAATTTGTGTGGATGTTTCTGTAGACTTTTTATCAGATAAAATATTTAGCAAAATAGTTGTAGCATCGGTGTCTGTTGACGAAACTGATGTACTAATTGGTTTAGTTTTCGACTTCATAGTTTTGTTCTGCTTAGAAAGTTCATCATCCAAAAATATAAGAAATATTAAAACTAAAATACCACCAAAAGCGAGATCTTGAATAATTGAAATAGGAGTATAAAAATAAACAAACACCATGACGAAAAAATAGGAAAAGTGTCCATCGTGTCAATGAAATTCACTCGATGAAAAAAATTGAAGTAAAAAAATATAAATTTAAACAATATGAAAAATATAACAGACTTCTAGACTGGTTGGCTTCCACAGGAGCTTATATGTTCTTTGTTCGCTGGTTAGACTAAAAGTCCCAATGAATTTTTAGTTTACTAAATCTTTTATACTAATTTTTTTCCAATTTTTTAGCCAACGACAAATAACGTTGCTAAAACAAATTTTTTCATTAATTCAAAGATAAATATATTATTTCACGATCGCCATAGGTTGTTTTTAGCCAATATCTATTTTATATTCTTCAAATTATACATGCCGTACACGTCAGAATAAAAAGCAATTGTAACATAGTGACCAAATAAGTTATTATCGAAAGAATGTTATAAAAAAAAAAATTCTAACTTAGCTTCATAGAAATAGTTTTTAAGATATAATTATTTTTTAGTAATTGTCAGTAGTTTTAATTTTAAGAAAATTTTTTTGAAAACTTGAAAATTGTATAAAAAGTATAACTTTTTTATCTTAACTTTTGAAAATCGGCGTCTTTTAAATATATATTAAAATAAAGCTTATTTTATGTACTAGAAGTTCAAAAAAAAAATTTGTTCCGATGACCTATTTTGTATTTGCAAATGACAGTCAAAGTAGAACAAAAAATAGGAGTTAATTTTGTTTTTGGAATAATCGACCAATTTCTTAAAATTAAACACTATCTACAGATTTGCATTGAAGCGTTTATTATAATAATGACTTTAATGACTGTTAAATATCATCTATACTTGTCCCAAATATGCNCGAGTTAATTTTGCTTTTGGACCAATCGACCAATTTCTTAAAATTAAACACTATCTACAGATTTTCATTGAAGCGTTTATTATAATAGTGACTTTAATGACTGTTAAATATCATCTATACTTGTCCCAAATATGTCCATACTGTTCTACGACTCCACTGTGCTTCCTTTTTATTTATGTTGAATTCATTATTATTTAGCAAAACAAAAGGATGGAGAATTTCTAGACTATAATATTGTATGATAAATTCTAAACTCGTAGTTACAGTGGTGTACATTAAAATCTGATTTGGAGAGGGGTGAAAAAATTATCCACTTAAATCAGTTTCTCAATTTTATTATAAAATATAAATCTTTGATTAGTTTTAATTTTATTTTCCGTGATTTTAAGCTACATATAAATAATAATTACTATATCAAATAAATTTTTTTAAACATCTCGACCATTAACAGATCGTTTTTAATTAATATAAAAATAATATAAGTAAATGTAATAATTAATCAAAACGTAGTCATAGTTAATAACGTAAAATTACCGTAATATCTTTTTTGTGAATATTTTAGCAAATGTTTTTGATAATATTTTCAAAAAACGAAAAAATCTATTTAGTTTCTCTTATTATATTTTTCATTGCTGTAAAATATTCTAAATTAGCCAACAAGTGAAAAATTGGTCATTTCCAATTAGTGTCATATAATTTGATCAGATGAAGTTATATGTATAGTCTACTTCAAATAAAATTATAATTGGATAATCCAATTTCATGTTCTTGAGTTTACAAACGCTTTAGAGTTATATATAGAAGTAATCAAATTTATTCTTAACGACCAGTTGAGCCCAAATATTGATGATTATATGTCATTTTTTATTGAGAATTATTAACAATATATAATAAATAGGAAATCTTAGAAATGCAAAAAAAATTGAAAAGCTGTAAAAATGCGAAAACATTAATAAGCCATACAATCATTTTTTGATTCAATATAACAATATTTAACAATACTCAATTATTTTATTTAAATACTTCAATTTTATTAAACTCGCCTTATTTTAGCTTCGATGCGAAGCTGAGAAGGTATTGGTTTTACTAAGATGTGTTTTTTTTTGTGTCTGTTACCACTTTTTCTCAGCTCTCACCGAACCGATTTCTTTCAATGATACGTCAAAAGATCACAAATCGTATCTAGTCGAAGACATTACCCTTAAAAATTGAAAAAAATTCCCTCGTTCCCCGTAAAAGGGGGAAACCTCCAAAAAAATTACAAATTTAAAAATCGCTAATTTTCGAAATTTTTTCAATTTTTTTTATTTTAAATTGCTATAACTTTTTCAAAAATGAACATATCAATATAATTCTTTTTTATATAGATGCATAATATCACCTTTCATTTGGTATATTTTTTTCATAAATTTAACCCTTAACCTGCCCACAAGGGGGGATTTAAAATGACAACTTTTTCACAAAAAATTAATTTTTTTAACTTAAATTTTGAAAATGTTCCGGAAGGTCTGACACTTTTATATATATCTTAAATTAAAGCTAATGTAATATACTTTATCATTGAAAAAAAAAATTTCGGACTTTATTTTATCTTCAAGGTGAAAATGTAGCTACTAAATGCTATTATTGTATAAATACTCGATTTTATTTTTTACATTTTTAACTTTATAATGCTATAACTTATTGAAAAGTGTATTGATCAATATAATTTTTTTATGGGAAATACTATTTTTTAATAATCCCTTTTTCATTCGACATACTTTATCTTAATNTATTGATCAATATAATTTTTTTATGGGAAATACTATTTTTTAATAATCCCTTTTTCATTCGACATACTTTATCTTAATCAGGATATTAATAAGGAACTAGCAGTTTATGAAGCTTTTGGAATAATCCACCAATTTTTTAAAATTAAACACTATCTAAAGATTTGCATCGAAGCGTTTTTTTTTTATAGTGATTTTAATCACTGTCAAATATCATTATACTTGATCCAACTATGCCACGTCACCACTGTGCCGCGACCCCCCTGTGCTGGGTTTTTTTTTGTTAATGAACAGTTTATTTTAATTGTTTTAAAAAAAAATTTATCTTTTAATAAATTCTTTATTCTTTTTAAAATTAAAATAATGATTAAATAAACAAAAGACTAAGAGTAATGTAACAAAGAATTTATTGGACGTACATTAATAATGAGTTTGTTGATTTTAGCATAGAATTTTTTCAGTACAGCAACATATAGTATAGAGTAGTAATATTATAAGATCCTTTAAATTTTAATTATCTGTCGTTTTTATGTTTTAAGGAGATAACAAAATCTATTTTATGGTCTGACTGACTTTTTAACATTTTGAACGATATTAATACTTAAAAATATATATTCTAATAAATTCTATAACTTTTAATTAATTAAATATATTTTACTACATTCATTACAAATTAATTTCAACGGCTTTTTACTTAGCTAAAAGCATAATTTTAATTATTTGTCTGAAATAAGAAAAAAAAATTTAAATTTTTTAAATAAAAAAAAGTTGATTTTTATCTCTTTTCTTTTTACATGATATAATAACGTTAGAATAAGTACTTATTGAATTACAAGCATTTTAATAATTAAAGTGAGTATGTAGTTTGGACGGAGTGCACATACACCAGTGTTATTATTGTAAATAGTTATGATTTACAATAAAAACTAAATTGAAAAACAAATGAGCGTTAAGTATATTTTATTAATATAATACATACAATTCATTTACTTTAAGTTATCTAACTACAATATCAATAAGTAGGCGGCACAATAAAAGTACCCAATAATTTTTCTTAACAAAATTTCACCATATATCAAATAACACAAATAATATATTGATACAAATAGCTAAACGGTAAATTAACTTAACAATTAAATAAATAAAAATTAATATAATACAACATAAAGTGATATTTAAACACGTCGTAGAAGACGATTATTTTACAAACGTTAAATGATACATTAATTTCTTATGATTAGTGGTATTTGAATAGCGAAAAATTTTAACAGACAACCATTGTCAAACGATTAAAAAATTAATATTTTTAGGAAATACTGAAATTATTCGTTCAACAATTATAATATTCATGATTTTAAATAAGCATTTTGAAAATATTTGAAACATTTAAATTTTGCATTGTTTAAACTGGTCACTTAAGCTCATTACGATAAAATTTANGAAACATTTAAATTTTACATTGTTTAAACTGGTCACTTAAGCTCATTACGATAAAATTTATCGTTTATCATTAAATGGACACGAAAATACTAAGCATTATTCGTAATTTTCAAAATGAATATTAAAAAAAAATAGGACTTTTAATTTTTTTTTTCAAGTCTAATATAAGCCGATTAGTTGAGCATGACATTAACAAAAAAAAATTAAACTTAAACAAATTGGTATCGTTTGTCAATGAAACAATCCTAACTAACTTTTGATTATTTCGGATACACAATAAAGACAACTTGGTGTATTAATATTAATTATTACACAATTATGACAAAATATCACAAGTTCGTTTCATATGAAATTTTTTAATATGTCGTGAACTTAGCTCAGTCAATATTGTTTACTTATAATTTAACATTAATCCTAGTAAAACAATAATTTATAATTATAGAGGTGAGCAGCTTTCAATTGAGTATGACGAATCAATTGATATTGGAATTTGCTTGGAATTTTCACTAATAATAGTTTCTTCTCTTTTTTTATCAATTTTTCTTTGCTTTGCTCGTCTATTTTGAAACCATATCTTAACCTTTAAAGAAATCCGGTATTAGTATTTAGTTATTAAGTACAAAATAAATACAATAATACGAACAAAAAAACACTCAAAGTTTTCATGAAATCAGTTCTTAAAAGTTTTAGTATCAATTTTTTAATGGTCTAAAAAACATTATCATTAAATGAGAATTTTGTTATGATTTTAATATTTTTAAAGTTTTATATATTATTAAATTTTGATAATACATAATGAGATGGTTAGAAATAATACAATGTATCTTTTTGCATTGGTAAAAAACTTGTCTATTTGGTTTATTTAAACTATTTAATAAATCTATTTCTATCTAAATCTATTGGATACGCAAATTTTTTTAAAATTCGTTGTTACAACTTTATAGGAATTCTAGACAAACATGTACCATTTATATCATATTCAACAAACGCGCAACATAATAATTGCTATCTCACACAAGCCTTGGTAATAAACCTTTCTACGAGNATTGCTATCTCACGCAAGCCTTGGTAATAAACCTTTCTACGAGTTGTATTAGTGCAATTTAATAAAATGATAATGTATGTTTTTAAACTAAGATTTCTACAGCTACAATTATTTTAATGGAAGCACTTTATTTCATTAACACTTAGTTATAAGTTATGAAATTTTATCACGAAAACAATCAAATGTTGGTAGGTATAAAAATAAATAAATACGCAGAAAGTAATTCTAAAAAATAATGTTGCATAACATTTTTATAACATTATTTTTTTAAAAAATCGTAAGGCCTATAGGCTTTAAAATGTGATTATTGTATTTTATGAAAATCTTATACATTTAATCTTGTATGTGAACAAATTAACAACGCAATGTTTACAACTTGATTCTTATTTTTTAAAGATAAACAATTGATTTTATAACTGTGAACAATTTTATTAAGTTAATATTCTATTTAATAGCCCATGAACTAGTTAATGACTATCATAGTATTAATATATTGTAGTAAATTGATGTAATCGATTTGAAATTTATCCACTTGAAGAATAATAATGTAACCGTACTATTCATACAGAAAAAATGTATTGACAAATTATTAATTAAAATTTATAATTCGACTTACTTGTCTTTCAGATAAACTTAACATCTTTGACAACTCGGTTTTTCTAGTAATTGTAATGTATCGATTAAAATGGAATTCTTTTTCGAGCTCTAGTCGCTGTAAGTCTGTATAAACAACCCTGTATTTGTCTTTTGTACGTGTTCGACCTAAATTAATAAAAATAAAATATTTCGAATCCAATTAATACAAAAAAATTTAAATAATTAGACATAGTACTATCCTATGACTACTCTAGTGACGCTAGAGAGTAGTATGATATATTATATTAGGTAACTTTTACTCCATTTTAAGTACTAAATGACATTTTTATTGTCTTCGGTTTCTTAATTCAATTACCGGCTCAATTAATAATCATTAATCATATGGTAGTCAGAGATTTCAAACAAAAACTAATACGTCATATTTGAATTATTTCTAAAAAGTTAATGTTGATGTTTTTATTATTATTAAGATTATTTGATTATATAAGATTATTGCAGTTTATTGATTTAATGTTATAATTATAAAAATAAAGGCAAATATTAAGTATGATATTTTAGACAAAAAGAAGTAAAATATTTTTCAAATAATATTTTTTATGAGCTATTGTTGTATCGTGTTGAAGAAAAAAAATTATTTCAGTCCTATTGATTTTAATTACTAGGTTAATAGAACTTGTAATTCATACGCAAGAACCTTATCATCATTGGCTTCATTACAATATTTTAACTATTACACTGAGGAGGAATTTCCTTCATTGTATCGTTATCTTTCTATTAACTGTGTACGCTGTACTTTTAATTTTTTTTTTTTAATATTGTATGTTTAACTTATTCAACGTATTTTTTAAGTGAGAGCATGTGTGTGTGTGCCAGAACCAGACTGATATGGAAATGTCTCTGTAATAATCCGAAACGTTATCTCATGCGGCTTGAAGTTTTTCAAACAAGCCGCCAAACCTCTCGAGATAATCCATGTCAGTTTTAACACACAAGAACGACACCCGATTTTTAGTTTACATTGTGTTAATACAACTTTTAGTGTGTTATGTTCATGACCAACTATCGTAGTAGAAAATATACATCTTTAAACTATACTGCCGGCCAAAATTATTAGATCACACAATAACTTTAAGATTTTTTTCAAATAAGATTTGATATCTTGTTGGTTTATTAAATATTATTATAATATTAACAAACATGATTGCTGTAGATTCAAAGAAAAAATAATTCACCTGCAAAAAATTATCGACAGAAATTTTAATTCGAATTTCTTTGGTGATCTAATAATTTTGGCCGCCAGTATATAAATGAACGCTTAAGTTAGAAAACTGAAAAAATTGTTTTTCTTCTTACTGTTTTACACGTTGTTAATATATAGATGATCGTTCTCCACAGTAAGTAGTTTTGTAACGCAAGAAAAATAGTTTTTCGTTTTTTTAACATACCCCCAGTGCGTTGACCATTATACCACCAGTCGGTAGTGCCTTTGATGGCCAACCGACAGACCTCTAGTACTATTCTCATTGTAAGCAGTGAGGAGGCAACACCTACCTCATGGCGTTGATTGGCCAGATACCAATATGGCAGCCAGGTATTTCTATACACACGTATGTGTAAACAGGTGAACGTTGTAATACACTAAATATGAGTCTATGCCCACCAGCGTTCGGTATTTTTCTTCCTTTGTTTAGTCGAGTTTCTTTTATTTTTTTAATAACTTGTTTCTACAGCTGCCATGTAAAAAGAAGTAGTGGGCTATCAAAAAATTTAAAAACGGAAGTTAAAACGAGACTGTAAGATAGAAAGTTGGTGGGGAAGTCGCATTTTAGAGGAACTGCCAATGCCGCTGACGACAACTAGTGTAACGACTCCCAGGGGATCAGTTGTCGTCCCCCGCAACGAACGTGTTAATCTGCGTTGCAGGACAATTGTTCGACAATCACAGTAGCAAATGGGTTGAGATGTGTCCGGAGAATAATAAATCAAGTGACAATTGCAGAAATAAAAAATATATAAATACTCGTCAACGAGTGTCGACTGGTGAATCTACACCAGTTGTTATTATGCTCATCATTCGGATTTTATAGAACACATTAAGTCCACGGAAAATATTTAGCCGATGTAAATACATTCGTTGACTTCCTAGATAACTATTAAATATTAAGTACACATATTACTTAAGAGCTTAGATAAAATTTGTAAACATAAAACTTATTCGCAGAGTTCAACTCCATTGCTTTTTTCCATTCATTTAGTTTTTTATTGAAAGATATTTTCATCAAACTTCAAACAACTATTTAAAGTACACTAACACTTAATTAATGTTACGCTTCGTGATATATTATTAAACCAGGTACCACTTGAATATGAATTTTAGGACGTCACATAATATTTTTTACTTCTCTATAGATTATAGGCAGATTTTGGAATTTGTTTATAAGGGTTTTGATTTCCTTAATAAATGAAAATATAAAGTTAAAAGAAGTGAGATTCTTTCTATGATTAAATTTTAAATTCCAGTTCTTATTTATGTATTCAAAATTATACAGCACATAATTATGTTTATTCCACGAAGATAGAAGCCAAAAATTAAAAATACAAATCTAAAATTTTCTATCTAATATTACAGTTTAACAATGATAATTAAAATAAATAAAACTAATTGGATATTATAGTCAAAGGTATTATCGAGGGATGACTATATTTAATTAACATCAAATTATTTAATTGAGAGTACCATACTACACGAAATTTTTTTTATAGTTGATCCAATCACAAATTGAGGTTAGTATAGCGACAAAATAATTAAATAGTTAGGAAAAAAACTCATAGTTAATTCCAACTAGATACTATAGTTATAGTAAGATACTATAATTTATGCAATCTAATATCTGTTTCCAGATAATCTTTTTTTGTGTGGAAAATTGGTAAAAAGAGGTTTGACGACAGCACAAATGGCATCTTAAAATCATAACACATAGTACTGTTTAGACATTTCTTTTTAAAATGGCTCCCTTGAAATCTTTTTCACAAGTTTAGTTTAAATATAATAAAATAAATGTCTAAAATTGTTTATACGGTAATTTGAAAATAGTTTACTGATAATAATATTTGCTGTTATTCATAATTAGAGTCACTATTTATATGCATTGCAAAAATGTTAAAATTATATGCATTTTATAAAAAAAAACGTTGTGGTATATATTAAATTATATTGTTAAAATTAATAAAACATGCAAAAATGATTTATTTTTGACTAATAATGCTTTATGACTTTATATGAAAAATGTTACTTAAAATAGACTTAATTAGGACTAATTATTAAGATTTAGCACCTCTATTTTTAGAAAAATATACAATGTATTTAATAGAAAATACATTCTAAATTTGGGGACATTACTTTTATTATGTAAGTAATTGAGAGGGTTGGGATAAACGAATTACCTGTAATAAAAAACATTCAAGACAACATTATTTAGTCACATTTTTTTAATATATGTGTTATTTTTTATGAAATAGAAAATACAACTATATAATGTTATTATGTAGTTTTTATATTACAGGTAATTCATCTATCCCAACCCACTCAACTATTTATAAAATAAAAGTAATATCAAGAATATTTTTTTGACTTTTTAGTTTTAAGTACTTTTTTGGTCTTTATCTTTTGGAGCTTATTCGTCAAATTTAATGTAATTTTTATAGAATTTAATAAACATTTTTAGAAAATAAAAATGAACCTCTACTATTATTGATTTTATGTTAATCTCATAATTATGGAATTATTACCAAGATAAACAATTTTATGAAAAATTCAAAAGTATATTTTTTTTTGTTTTTACATAGCAAATAACTAACGAAAACGCCGTTATGTGAAGAAATATATGTAAAACTCAAAAATTCAAAACATTTTCAATTTTATTTTTATTAAATCTTTTTAAGTGCAATTTTTTGTGAGTTGAAAAACAATAACAGTCATATGTAATTTTTGATGCTAAATAGGCTGATGTAATTAGATTTGACATATGATACTTGATTAACTTAGTTAATAAACTAATTGTACAGAAAAAGTAAAAAATATTTTGCAAATTTCCATAGTTACAACAGATAGGAAATTAAAAAAATAAATAAACTAAATTATGAAATAATTATTATATGCAAAATTCAATTAGAAAAAAATTTCCATAGATATAAAATAGTAATTAGCAGATTCAAAATCAAAGAACACTTTAGTTACTAAAATCTTAAACATGCAATTATAATTTGGAATTGTACACTAACTCATTACCAAATTTTAAAAATGCTCATGCCAGATAAAAGTATATTCAATTTTAGATGTAGCTTAAGCGTTAAAATTATAAAAGTCTGTTAAATTTTTTTCAGAGTCACAAAAAACTACTAAAAAATTACTTATAAAAATAAAATTACAATTTTACTGAATTTTTGAGTTTTACGTATATTTTTCTCGTAATTGTGTTTGCTAGTTATAACCAGCAAAGATATTTTTGAATCCTTCACAAAATTATTTTGGTAGCAATTTCATAATTATATAGTGTTGTAAAACTTCCGTAAATTTAATACTAGGATCATTTTTATAAGAGAAAACCCTTACATCATAAAAGGATGTCAACTTAATTTTTTTTTAATGGCGACATACATATTTAATTAATTTATAAAGTAGAAAATTATTTAATTTAGAAAATGCCTGGTCCAACTTACGACCAGTATTTCAAAAGATATTACTATTTTAAAATATATACAAAATATAGACTAGCAGCAGAGAGACTGCGAAATGTCTAATTATATATGTTTTAAAGTTATTCACAATTATTTAAAATTAAATTTAAAGATGATTTAATATAAAAAATATTAAATTTAAAGATGTTAAATAAAAATGTCCGACTTTCCCGAAATTTCTAAATAATTTGGCAAAACATTAAATTTCTGGAAATTTAGATAGTTAAATTAGATAAATGAGTTTGATTGAATCTGAATTATTTCCATATTCAAATTGTAGTTAACATTATGTTTCTTTGACTTCTAGTATATTTTTATAACTTAAAGAGTATGTTTTTTAGAATTTTATATTATCTACATCAAAGTATACATTAAAATAAAAATAAAAATTTGTTTAATTAAAAAGAAAAATCGACTTAAACTCTTGT